ACAATTTTATTGCATAATTGTTTGTGACTTTTAGTATGTTATTAAAACCTTTGTGTTTGTGCCCCTCTGAAACCAGACCATTTCTGCTTGTAGCTGTAATTTTGGGCGATTGAGCTGCTTTCTTCTGTTGAGACAAAAAGTTTACAATCTGCGATTTAATTCTCCAAAAGTTTTGAGTTTTGTGTATTTTAAAGTTCCATAAAAGAAGAGACTTCACAGGTATGCTATGGGCTACATAGTAAATGCTGTGGTAGGCGATGTGGTATTGGTTTATGTAATATGCTGTAATTATCCTATACAAATGATCAAATAAAAGGTAATGACATAAAAAATCAACTCAGGCATTTAGACTTATTACTATTTGACAGGTCTGTGTGTGTGTGCGTGTGTGTGTGTGTATGCGCGCACACACGCATAAGTGTGAAATAAGTTGCGACAACTGGGAGAGAAATTGAATAAAAGCAGGTACAATCTCTTCTACAACCGAGCTCCTCTCCTGTACGCTCGGTTATTACAGTCCAGTGGAGCTTCACAGCACTCAGGAGAGGGAGCGAGTGAGAGACAGACGGACACAGGGAGAAAGAGAGAGTGTGTGTGCAAGAAGAGTGGGACCTGCGCCAGCTCACCCCACCCTTACTGCTGCTGCTGCTGCTGCCTGCAGAGTGAGGAGTGCTGCATTTCCTGAGGGCAATGCAGAGGACAAGGAAGAAAAGACTGGATGGTGTTAAGGTCACTGTACAGCAAACACAGACCTGGGCTGCAAACACAGACACACAGAGTGTCCGTGGTGGACAGGGACACTGAGAAGGACGGACGGGCTGCAGCATTCACCACGATGCATCCTCTGTCAAATGTTCAGCTTCACGCCATCAGAGGACACAAGTGGGAGTGAATCATTTTCACACCCAAAAAAATGACGCCCACTCATTTCAGCTTCACTGCTCGATTTCCCTTTCACTGCTCTATGACTGGATGTGTGTGTTTGTCGGCTGATGTATTGTCACTACACTCGACGGATTTAGTGCTAAAAGACCTATTTGTTATATGACAAAATATGCCTTTAAAATCACACTATGAGAAACAAGGTGTTTAAGAGTGAGTTTAAAAAGGTTATGATTTAATTATGACTGACAAAAACTAAACTTAACCTTTAAAACACACCATCCCACCAGTGGAACCCTTTGGCCTCGGTTGCTCTACTTTAGTTGTGTTTTGGTCTCTGCTGCACTCAGGCTTCACTCAACCTTCACAAATTATACATTGTTTGAAAGCATGAAGTCTCCTGATTCTATGGTGAATGGTCTGTAAATAGTCTGTATTTGTATCAAGCTTTTCTAGTCTTGATGCCCTCTCGGAGTGCTTTACAGTCCAGTTTATTGCCTTACACACACATTCATACAGTGCTATCTATGGGCAGCACTTTTTTCTATGACACTTGGGCATGCAGATGGGGAAGACTGGGATCAAACCGCAGATCTTAGAGGTGGAGGACGACTGTTCTACCCCCTCAGCCACAGCCGCTATCTGTACACAAATGATGCAAACTAAAGGCCTGTATTTCCTTTTTTATGCCTAAAAGACCACAAATAATCCTAAAACCCCTATAAATTACACTACTCCCATGTCTGTGTTCACCTTTTTTCAGTATCACATTCTGACTTCTCTCTTTCAAAGAAGTTGCATTGAAAAGGCATGAAGAACAGAAACCTTTTTATTTGGGGTACATCATTTTTAGACTTGTGCACAGAAATTGGTGTCTGGTAACTGTTTATTTGAATATCTCAAAAACTGCTCTGAAGAGACGGACACTTTGACGACTTTAAATTAGCAACAGTAAATTAACAAACATTCGCAATTGTTTCAGCTCTTTTTCATATTGGATAGTAAATCTGAAAATCTTTCACTTTGGGCTGTAGGTGATAGTCAGCACACTAATTTATAAATAAATTATGTTCATAAGTGGTATTGGTTTACGAGATATAGCCTACTGCATCCGACTGGCACATGGACACTGTGTGTGTGTGTGTGTGTGTGTGTGTGTGTGTGTGTGTGTGTGNACAAGTCCTTCCCTTGAAAATAGAACAACAAAAAGTGCTGCTATTAGATGCACTGTATGTATGAATGTGTGTGTGTGTGTGTGTGTGTGTGTGTGTGTTAAATAACAACAGAGAGAGAAATCCAATGAAATACTTAGTGGCAACAGAAAATGATTTTGCAAATAAATTATTTGGAAATTATGTTTTGAATTTCTTTTTTCAAGTAAAAATACTAATACTCCCAATTTTTGTGCGTTACAAATGTGATGTTTCGCTGCTACTCTTGGTCATTTTGTTGCATATCTTAACCTTGTGACTTTGGGCTTTATAAGTAAATAATCTGCACAAAATAATCTATAAATAAATAAAAAACTTAATTATTCTGCACTCAGCAAGTGCACAACAGCCCGGAACGGTTTCATGCATGTGTGCATGTGAATACAGGAAGAAAAAAAAGGGAGTGATGGGTTCTCTTCTGGCCTCTGAGGTGTATAACAACTCGTTGGGAATGACAGAGGTAAGCGGGGCTCTCCTGGGACTGAGGATTAGTGTGGAACCATTACCTTAGCCCTGTGAATCACTGCTAATGGCTTAAGCGAGAGGGTAGTACAGAGGTAGACACATTTAGATTGAGACTTCCAGTTCTGTAACACTGCACACTGCAGCACATTTCTCCTGTTAGTGTGCTGCAGAAACGCCTCGGACAACTTAGTGCACAGTGGATGATTTAAGTCCCCCCACCCCCCAACCAAAATGAGCGTACACCAGCAGATCCTTAAAAATTTATTGAAGTTAATGTAAGATGAAATCATAAGTGATATAAGAAAAAAAATAACCCTTGCATAGATCACAGACCATGCCTTTGTCATCATCAGACAAACTGAACACATTGTAGCATAATCCTCAGTAAACACAACATGACAATGGTGATTGGATCAGATAACACAATCAGAGTTTAGTTTTCTTATGCATGAAAAGAAGAAGAGTTCAACAGTCCCTTTGCAAGTTTTTCTCCAAAAACGTCCCTACCAGCGATTTAAATGTGCGTTCTCGACAGAAAAAGACAAACTCAGCCATCGCACATTAAACACAGACCAGATCTTCTCACTGAAAGTCACCTTTGGCGAGAGAGGTACACAACAACAACACTCCCGACATTTGATCCTGTCCAGTGCCTCCTCAGCAGGCAGAGAGCAGTCCAGCATCACGACCTTCAGCAAACAAGAAATGCCTTAAAAAACCGAGGTGGTACTGACAAGGGTGTGTGGCACAGGCCCTGTTTGGACATGACAGGCATGTTTCTTACAACACGGTATCACTACAGTCTAGACTGAGATAGGAATGGGGGGAGAAATGTCACTGGAGCGAGCGCTTCAGTCCTAGAATAGAGATAGAGTTTGAGAAACTATAGCCCTTGATGTCCTCGCTCACATTCGGAGCCTAAGCGAGCACAACCTGAACATCCACACACGCTGGGCAAGGCTCGGATGCCCAGCGTCGTCTTGGTGATGAGGTCAGTGCTAAGGTGCTTTTTAAGAAATCCTGCGGAGGACACGTTTCACGACAACTCCTGAACAGGGCCTTTTACACAAAGCCTTGGTGCAGATGAAAGCAAGGGTTTCTTTTCTTTTTTTGTTTTGAAACGATGCAACTGTATTATAGTTGATCCACAGTTTGAAAAGCTCATGCAGTCTTCCGTCGACCATGCAGTTTTTTGCGATCAGTAGGTTTCTGTAGAGATACTTTAAAGCAGTAGGTTCAGCAAGAGACTGGAAACAATGGGAACATGGTGTTTGAATGAATCCTCTATTTTTTTTCTCTAGAAACCAAAAAGAAAAACCATTTGTTTTTTTAGTACACTTATAGTCCATATCATTTATTGTATAACAATTGATCATAATACAGTAGTTTCATTATCATGGCTTGCCAGTGGAACATACTATCTTTGATATATTCCAGTGTATGGCATGTTCTTCCTAAATCAGTCATGTTACAGTGCCACCAACAAAAAAGGAAAAATAAAAACACACATTAAAGTTGTTTTTCATACATAATTGCAGTATATAGTGGTTACTTTTCTCTATCTTATTGTAGCTAAATTGCATTTTGTTCTCGTTTTTTCTTAGTTTAAATGAATGTCATTTTTTTCTTAGATCTTCTCGCCTTTGTTTCTTTGCAGAAGCGTAACATCTGACAGTAAGCTCAAAGAAATGAATATGTAAAAACAATTTAGGCACCTTCTCTGACGTTCACTCGCACGGTCAATCAGTCCAGTGAACTGATAATAGATCCTCTCTAAATACATTATGGGCCATTCCTTTGGGAACACGTTACAAGGTTCGGCCTTTGTTCCTTTGACTGCAAAAAGACTGGAGTCTGACTTGGGTGGTTCATGGGGACTGCCACTATTACAAAGCTTTTATTTGGATTTTTTTTCCCGGGTTACTCCTAACAAAATGTCGGCCTCCGTCTACACTTAAACCCCCAATGACCTTACAAAAATCACAGAACAGAGAGCAAGAGGTTGGTACATAAACAGCCCTGTTGTGAGTATCTGTCAAGTGATCACAGTTCCTCTGACATTCAAA